CAGAAGTTTCTTTTGTGTATGGATACTTCTGTTCTCTTGCGAGGTAAGATCGAATGGTACCACAAGCAACGCGGTTGATAATCTTCCAATCTCCTTCTCCGATATTGTCTGGTTTATTTTCTTCTATGGCAATATCTAGTCCTTGTTGAAAAAGGACATCAAGAACCTCAGCTTGCCACATCCCGAAATGTCCTGACCCGTCAAAAATTTAAACTGCAAATTTCGCACTAGACTGTCATAAGCGAAGATGCCAACGACGTATTACTGACACCCGATGTGGACTCTTCATTTTTATTATCTCCCATTTTGCTACATATACTATTTATTTGCTGACAGTACAGAATACCAAAGTAATTCTTTTCTGATGTGGAAGTTCAGACTATGCTGCAACCACAGAGCATACTAAGATAGAACCTTGGCTCTGATACCAATTGTTGCGGAAGCCGAATATATAGAGTGATTAAATCACAACTACTATATCTAAAGGTAGCTAATAAATAATAAATGAGACAATAATAAAAAAAATACCAGAAATCTAAGTTGCTCGGACTCGGGTGCGGGTGTCCGATAAGGGTGCGGATCTAGAGGTCAGATCCTTCATGATCTAAATTTAAAGATTCGGGGGTACGGATCAAGGTACGGATACGGGTGCGGGGATTCGGCTAAAAATAATTCAATTATTTAAAAATAGAGTTATAAAAATATGTTTAAATTATGAGACACTATGTGGAGAACTTACAAGGTATTCCGAGAAGGAGAAAATATTGAACAAGAATAGAATTTTAGGAGATAAAAGGAAAAGTACTGACATAGAAATTTTTATATACAAGGTATTCCATTTTCTTCCATATCACCCTAGCTTTTGATTTGTTTTAAAAAATCATTGTATCTGTCCCAAATTTCTCCGTTGATTTTGGTCAAAGTACCCAAAATCGGTTGACCAGATCCGACACGGATCCCACACCCATACCCACACCCACTTCGTGTCGACACGGGTGCGGCACTGAAAGTGAAGAGTCCGAGCAACTTAGCCAGAAATTAACGAGGTTCGGCAAAATTTAATTTTTGCTTAGTACCCGGACACAATCAACTCAAACTTTATTTCACTCCAAAAAATACAAGTGAAATACTACAAAAGAGAAAAAAGATTCAAATGACTTAGGAGATAAGAAGGCAAGGAGAAATGTTTACAAATGAACAAAACCCTTGCTATTTATAGAAGGGAAATGGTCTTAATAATGTCATGCATGACATCATATTAAGTGTGATCATGCAATGTAAATGCATGAAAAATGCATCTACCAATTTCTTCCAAAAAAGAGGCTTCAAATGCTCACACTAGTTCACATTAATCTTGTCAAATTCAACAGCTTTACTAAATGATGACTCATTAATAAGTAAATCAAGCATCTAGGATAACCATGATTGTACCTAAAATATCTCGGGGTTTTGTGAAAAACAAAGGTCTGACATTTCTTCTTATAATACCATAGAAATAGCAAAAATAGTGTACTTATCATCCATCTTTAGACTAACATATTTTTGCAGAATATAACTCTAATTTACATTTGCCACACATCATTACCATGTCATAGTGTTGCCCCCAGGGCCTAGCTCAAGTGGCAAAGGGTGGTGGATTTGTGTCTTAGGTCACAGGTTCAAGCCCCCACACCATGCAAAGCAAAGCCTGGTATTTAAGTGGAGAAGGGTAGAGGGGCGGGCCCATTATCCACCGAGTTTCGAAGGCTGCGGTTGGTCCAAAGGATCGGCCCCAGACGGATTTCTCGGTCATCAAGAAAAAAAAATTACCATGTCATAGTCTTGTATATATCAGCTGAATGTGAAATCTTGCTTATTAAGGCTTATTTGAAAGGGGTCCAAATGGATCGCAATGCACATTAAGATGCATATAGCCGACCAGAATTAGTTTGGCATTGAGATGCAATTGTTGTTGCTTATTATGGTGGTACGCAATAAATGAGATATTAAGACACGAGTCCTCAACTCTGTGTAACATATTATGAAATTGTTGTTCTCGAAAAGCTTAAATGAAATCAAGGTAATATACAGCTTTCAAAAATCTAAAATCAATGAAAGCTATACAAGACCAGTGAAAGACTAGTAAGAATCGAACCCCTACAGACAAAATTGGGTTAGTCTGTTTTCTACTGGAAGAGTGTGACTGTGTTTCTACTAGAAGAATGTTACTGCAAACAGAAATTGAGAGCAAATTTATAACCTATAGAACAAGTGAACAATCATAAGTTGGCAGAT